TTGGGATAGTGTCAAGATTAGTTTAGCAACCATAAATTAACTAGATCTAACTCAATTTTCTAAGTCTCTAATAGTGTTGATGTTTCCTAAATCAAAAAGCCTTCACTGCACCAGCTAGCCCAGACTTCCTGCTGTCCTGTCAGCATTTTCATAAAGACAGCTAACTATAAATTTATCAGCTTAGCTATATTCCCAGCCCACAATGTAGTTTAATCTGCAAAACATACTAGAATGAGGAGAGCATGGATGCTGTTAAAGCAATTAAGAAACAATCTCATCAGTTAAAGTGAGAGATAAAAGAACTAGCTGAAGTCAGAAACAAGCGACACATATTGATATAAAAGATACTTGGGGAATAAACTATCAGAATCTTGGGGTGTATTTGAAATGTATGTAAGAAAATAGAAAAATTTCCACGATGAACCCCAGATTTCTAACCTGCATAATTTAATAGATGATAATACCATTTACCAAAAAGGGGCCCTGTAGTAATGCTGAGTCTTAAGAAGTAGGTCCATACAATTGTAATTAATTTTAGATATAAACAATTTAAAGATGCTATACCAAATATGTTTTGATAGCCTCTACACTTAACCCACCCTTTGCAGTACAGATTATCAACAGGCAACCTTATCCTCTAGGTTCTCTTGAGTTCATCAATGGAGACCTCTGGGAACTAATCAGAAAGTATTTATTTTATTCTTTTGGCTCCATCCTTATCTTGAGTGAAACCCTTCAATAGGAAATGTTGTACTTTCAAAACAACCTTTTCATAACTCCCTCCTGAGTACCAGAAACTACTCTCTCAAACCAGTCATAAAACAGCAAGGAAGAAATGCTTCCAAATTCATGTTTACAAAGCCAGTCTTACTCTGATATCAAAACTGATAAAAGCACAACAAAACAACAAAAAGAAAACAAAAGACAACATTCTTGATGGACACACATACAACAGTATTCAATAAAATACTCAAAAACCAAACTGAACAATACGTACAATGTACTTTTATTTTAGGTGTGTATGGTATATGCCTGTGGCATTTGGAGGCAAGAAGTCAATGCTGTTTTCTTCTATTATGCTCCTTTTGATCTGAGGCCTCACTTTGCAGCCCTGCTGTCCTGCAACTCGATGTGGACTAGTGTGGGCTGGAACCCAAAGATCCACCTGCCTCTGCTTTCCAAGCACTGAAACTAAAAGACATGTGCCATCTCACCAGACACTTTATCTTACTTTGTGGAGAAAGCCATCTCTTAATGAAAACATGAAATGCTAGTGAGTAAATAATAGTCTATTAAATACACATTTTGTGGGAGAGCTTTTTTTTTTATATATATATCAATCCAAACAGATGACAGCACACTATCACTTAAGTCAACATAGTATGGTAGTATATTACAATTTTCCTCCTTTTTTTCCTTTTTAAAAATTAAAGCTGGGCAGTAGTGGTACATGCCTTTAATCCCAGCACTCAGGAAGCAGAGGCAGGCAGATCTCTGTGAGTTCAAGGCCAGCCTGGTCTACAGAATGAGTTCCAGGACAGGCTTCAAAGCTACACAGGGAAACCCTGTCTTGAAAAACCAAACAGTGTGTGTATGTGTGTGTGCATGCCTGTGTGAGTGTGTGAGGGGTGTGCATGGTGAGGCTAGAGGTTGATGCCCTGTGTCTTCCTCTATAGCTTCCCAACTTATTTTGAAGCAGGATCTCCTACTGAGCTTAGAGCTGACTGACTGGTTAAGACTGGCTGAGTGGCACAGCCTTGGGAACCCTGTCTCTGCCTCCCGGTTCTGGATGTGTGCTACCACAGCCAGATGCTTATGTAGACACTAGGGATCAAATGCAGGTACACATGCTTGCTCAGCAGGTACTTTACCCACTAAGCCTTTTCCCCAGCCCAAATTGGTTTTATGAGATAGGATCTGATATAGACCATGTTGACCCTTAAACTCCCTACATAGTCAATTCCTGATCTTCCAAGTGCGAGATTATAGGTGCGCACCACCATGCTCAGCTCATTTGTACAATAATAAGTTGATTTTATAGTTAAAAATTACAAGTATGTAGTAACAACTTACATTACATGAAGCTCAATCTGACAGAATTAAGAAACAGACAAAAGGTCACTACACTACATGACTACAAATTTCTACATAACTACAAGTTTAAATGATTTATAATACAAAATATTGCCGAGAGAAAGAAAATAGTTACCCAGAAATTAATCAGTAATACCCATGCAATATTAATCAAAATTTCCTCAGACTTATTGTTTTGTAAAGAAATTTACAGTGTTCTAAAATTACATGGAAAAGAAAAGATCATAGTACAAATTTGAAAATAATAAAAATACAGTTAGAAGACTAACATTACTTAATTTCAAAACTTACTATATAAAGCCTTAAATAAATAGCACTCTTCAATAACAGTATCAAATAAAACAGTCATCAAATTAAAGCAGTAGTAGTATAAATCTATCTACACATAAGTGACTTCAGAATGACTCACAAATATATATTCAATTAACTTCAATAAAGATGCATAGAGAATTCAGTATAAAAAGGATAGTTTTTTTTCCACAATATGTGATATTAGCATAACTGACTACCAGTAATGGAAAAACTAGTTTTATCCTTTTATCACACTACAGCCAAAAGTTAATTTTAATTAGGTACTGAATACAATCATAAAAAAGGAAACTTAGAAATACTGAAGGAAAAATTTCAGCCGGGTGTTGGTGGCGCACACCTTTAATCCCAGCACTCGGGAGGCAGAGGCAGGCGGATCTCTGTGAGTTGGAGGCCAGCCTGGTCTCCAGAGCGAGTGCCAGGATAGGCTCCAAAGCTACACAGAGAAACACCGGAAAAAAAAAAAAAAAAAAAGAAATACTGAAGGAAAAATTTCATAACCCCAGTTATGTTACAGTTTCTTATACAGGTTACAAAAACCATAATATGTTTTTGTTTTTACTCAATCAACTGAATGTCAAAGGTAAAATTTTCTTCTTGAAAAACACTGAAAACAGAAAGGTACGACACAGTTTTTTTGTTTTTCGAGACGCAGTTTCTGTGTAACAAACAGTTCTGACTGTCCTGTAGACCAGGCTGGCCTCAAACTCACAGAGATCCATCTTCCTCTGCCTCTCCCAAGTGCTGGGGTTAAATGTGTATGCCACCACTGCCCAGAAGGACACATTTTGAAGGACACATTTGAAGAAGCATCTGCAAGTCATATTTACCTGGCAAAGAACTTATATCTTGAATATATAATGAGTTCTTGCATTTAAGTAAGAAAACATATAGGATTTGGGTGTGGTGGTGCATGGGGACATTTAACGGACAATGTTCTCCTATGGCTTATACTTCTATGTTTATTTTTGGCAAGGGTAACATAAATACATGTAAGGCTGAAAAAAAAAAAGATGATTTGGAACTATTCTAACTTCCCACTATACATTCACACTTGAATACTTCAACATTTATCATCTTAATCCCTTTATTTTTAGACAAATTCATTGTTTCTTCCCTTTCAGCTCAAATTCCCAAACTTACAGCTTCTTTGCTATCTCGGCTGTTTTGCAAACCACAGGGTAGTTTACTGCTTAGCAGCACAGGCTTAAGAGTCACTCAAAAACTGTGTGACTTTGGGCAAACTACTTTATTTCTCTGTGACTCATGATACAAGTCGATTACAAATGTTAAGAGCTAAGTCTGTCTCAGTAAATAAATACTATACTCAAAAGTTTTCTTCCTTGTTACCACAGTATTATTACTACTGTCTACAGCTGGCCTCAAACATCACAGAGAGCCACCTGCCTCACCTCCCGAACACTGGAATTAAAGGCAAGTGCCACTACACCCAGCTGTGCTCCATTTTTTTTTTTTTTATTCTTCCTTTGCTCTACTTGTATCAAGGAAGGCATTAAGTTCTGTTACCTCTTCCCAGAACACACTCTCTCTATTTCTGGTAACTAGTAACTAGTTTTCTTCCATCAGCCTTTGATTTTTTTGGTTCCTTCTAATTTAATCCCTTATGTACTATTATCAGGTTTATTTTAATTCTTCCCCAAAATTCCCATTTCCTATAGCAGAAAAACTCTGGGGCACTAAACAAGGGTGGGGGGGTGTGTTTTGCAAATTAATCCTGCTATAAAAATTATGATTGCTGAAAGTATCATGGCTGAGTTTTAGCCCTACAATTATCAAAGCATGTTACATTTATTAATATAAGAGCAACAAAATGTTGCCTTCCACTAGCGTTAGCAAATCTTAATTTTATCAGCAAACATTCCATGTATAGTCTGAGATTTGATTTGGTGTAAAATCACTAGCAAATTACAGAAGCTTGAGTTTCATTTACCTCTTAGGGCTCTACTTTCCAAATGATATATAAGGTCATCACTCTATGTTCATGGGCACAAAAGGTACCACTAACTGAAAGACTCTTTTCTGAAGAATCTAAAACAAGCAGTTATTCATGAAGTTAAAAATATTACTGGAGGAAATGGCAGAGGTTTATTTATGTCATTTTTAAATCTAAATTTAATTCTTAATTTTATGTGTATGGGTGTTCTGACTCCATGTATTCTATCTGTGCATCATGAGCATGCCTGGTACCCTCAGAGACCAGAAGAGGGCACTGGATTCCCTGGAACTAGAGCTAGACAGTTGTGAGCTACCAAGTGGGTACTGGGAATTGAACCTGGATCTTCTGTGGAAGCAGCAAGTGCTTCCAGTCCCTATGTCATTCTTGAACATCATTATTTCTGGAGTTGGTAATAACTGAATGGTGTGTATATAAAAATAGCTATAATCTGAGGTTCCCTTGAGAAAAGTTCTCTGTGACTCATTAACAATTCATATTTTGTTGACAGTGTATTACTACTAAATCTACTAAATGCTGACTACTACTAAAATGGGACCATAATGTGATATTGGCATATAAATGCAGCTATTCTCCAAAAGTAATTCTTGGAAATCTCAACAGTTAACATTTTAACATTTACCTTTTTTCTTCTTTTGCTCTCAGCTGTTCTTCCTGTCTCAAAACTTGAACCATTATAGACTCAAACACTCCACTTGTCAAACCTGTCAAACTTCGAGGTGTTGACCGGCGCCTTGTTGAAGTACATGCAGTTCCCTTCTCCTCCTCCAATCCATAATAGCCTCTAGATGTAACTGCTATCGTTGTCTTTTCTCTCAAGTGCCTTGGAGAAGAACAAGTCAATTCACAAGGTCAAATCTTCCGGACAAGTAATGCACCCTTTCACCAGTACCTTAAGTAGAACCTCTTTTGCTGACTTCTACAAAATATTTAGTTTCTTTGCCTTGTTCCAGAGTTTTATCTGTTCCACACAAGATTCTAACTTCTTTCACATAAATGTCACTGAGGGACAGTCCCTCCTCTACATTTAAAAAGTATCAGCATGAAGCATTCAAATTAAGGACTAAAACACTAATTCTATTAAAAACATCAATAGAAAGTTTTTGCTTGCAAGGTATCATACTGTTTATTGATGTATGAGAAAAATGTACAATGACATAAAAACGTTTTGGGAAAGAAGATTTTGGTAATAAACACTTTGGGGATATTATACGTAAGTGCAGCATTACAATATATAGCAATTATATTACATTTGTCCCGAGAGTAAGGAATTACAAGGCCCAAGGAAAACAGCTGCCTAGCAATAACAAACCCTGAATAAATGAAGTAGAGGTTCATTTCAATGTGTTTTTACCAAATATTAATTACTTATCAATACTAATGAAAGAGAACATATTAATAAAAAATGAATGAACAATGTGATGCAATCTGTCTTCTGACTGAAAAAATTCAGAATTTAGAACTCTAGAATTCCCTTCAATCTTAATATCAAATGTGTCCTTCATGATATTTTTATTAATTCATTGAGATACTGGTTAAAAATAGCATCCCAGCAGTTCACTTAATTGTGCACAAATCACCTTAATGAATTTGGATTGACTTAAAAAAATTATAATAGGCCTAGGGATGTAGCTCAGAGGCAGCAAGCATAAGACCAAAAGAATGATCTACAGTACGACAAAAAAAAAAAAGTCAATAAAAACATATTTACACTAGAAAAGGAAACACTACACTGACCCTGCAAAGTTTTAAAGGATAGTCTAACTACTGATTTCTAGACCTGTATCCATTATATAAACAGTAATTATTAAAAAATTCAGGGAAAACATCTCTTCTACCTTTGTAAAATATGCCAAATCCTCTGAAAATTTCATGCATTATTACTACAATGACAAACTCAAGTCAGCTCTAAAATCAACCACTCAAAATACTGCATAATAATTTATATGAGGATTTTCCTCCCTTGGAGCCCCTCCCACTTTTGGAAGCTCTCTTCTTACTTGTCCTTCATAAATATACATTCCCTCTATTTAAATAAACCACACATAAACCACACGCCAAAAAAAAATTTATATAAATTAAATGTTGACTGTGGATATAGTTCCTTGTTTCCCTAAAAACTGTAAAAAAGTTCACTGAAACATAAATCTTTACGCTATGAGATACAATCAAACCCCTTCCCTTCTTAAACTGTGTTCACATCAGTTTACGATTATAAATTAGGATAACTTATCACTCTTACCTTCACTGACATTTGGATCCCATGAATAGAGTCTACTAAATTACCATACTATTGTTTTGTTTTGTTTTCTGTTACAAGGAGATGGCACTAACTGATTTAGCTTCTCATAGGATAAGAACATTAGTTTTCTAATAATGAAGAATTTGGGCTCATCTGGTGTGCTATTTCAAGCTGTTGTTACCTTTCTAAAAAATTAATTTTTTAAATTAAAATTTTAAATTTATTGTTTGCTGGGGCACATGCCATACTACACCTATAGAGATTAGAGGGTTGCTTTCAAGTGTCAGTATATTCTTTCTACCGTTAAACAAAATTTTACATTTATTTATTGTCTGTATACACAGGCAATAAATAATGTGAAGGTCAGAGGACAACTTCAGAAAGTTGGTTCTTTCCTTCCCCCCACAGGGGTGCCAAGGAACAAACTCTAGTTACTAGACTTGGTAGCAAGTACCTTTAGCTGCTGACCCATCTCCAAGGCCCATATTACATTAACTAATGTACCAGAGAATATAAACCATTCATCTAATAAGACCAGGTATGTATATGTACATACATTGAAAAAGACATCATTGTAGCTAAGTGTAAAAAAGTTTTTGAGTAAGATATATTTAACTTACAAACATCACAAATATAAACAGCATCTAGAAGTATGTGTGCTTGTGTATACATGAATCCTAACTCTTAACCTAGGCTACTACAAATGCCCATGACAAGGCTTTTTCCTTTCATTCTGCTCTATCGATACAGAAACCTGTGCAATACTTTTAACAGTTACATGGAGTAGGTCATTACCTTACTGTCTCCTCCAAAATCTTCCAGTTATACTTAGAATATATTTGACATTCTTATAACCTCTAAGACCTAATGTGATATGGTCCTTACCTCAAGGCCCCTTACCCTTTCAGTGTTTCTAAGTCTTCTGCTCTCTGCATTCCAGTCAGACTTCCATCTATTCTCAAGCCACACCAACACATCTACTTCTCTAGAATCTTTGTGCCCCATTCTCCCATAAGAATATACTCTTCTGCAGATATTCGTGTGCAGGTCTGTCATTTCAACCATGTTTCAAAGGCCACCAAATCTGAGAAGTTTTTCTCTGATCATGATGTTTAATAACAGCTCTATGCTCTTATATTGGTTTGTCTTTATTTTACTTATCACCACACAGTATTAATGAACATTTATTTAATAATTGTCTATCCCCCTCCCACTTGACCCCCTCAAAAAGCTCAAGGATCTATGCAAAATAGGAGGCAAAAAGACTGTAAGAGCCAGAGGTGATGGATAATGACTCCAAGAAAACAGTATCTTTGAAACACAAGACTGAAGCATACATGAACTCACAAGAAACTGGCAGCATGCACAAAACCTGTACAGGCTCAATTCAGACAGGATCCCAACACTGAGGAGAAAACTGGACTACAGGCTCCCACCCCCAACCAAGAAGCTTTCTGCAACTGATATCTGCTAGTGCTTCAGGGTAGGCCCCATGCCCAAGATAAGTTGGTCAACACAAAACAGATTCAATAGTATTTTTTTTTTTTTAGACCTTTTTGTCTCATTTTGCTTTGTTTGGGCATTTTTTTGTATTATGATCTTTTGCTTATATAATTTGGTTTCTGTTTTTGTATGGGTTTTTGTGTGTGTGTCTGCTTCTTGATTTTTGCTTTTTTTTTTTAAAGAGAAAGGAAGGAAAAAGAACATAAAATTGGGTTTGTGGGGAGGTAGGGAGGATCTAAAAGGGGATAAACATGATCAAAATATATTGTATGAAATTTTTTTCAATTAAAAAAATAATTATCTAGCCCCAACCAGAAGGAAGGGTCCAGGAATATAAGGGACTTTTCTCCCCTTATTCACTGTACTTCTGTCCCCCAACCATAGTATGTATATATGTGTACATATGTGTGTACAGACATGTTTAAAAATCTTCCCAATGATATAAGCCATACTTTTTCACATTTTTCAGTTACAAATATATTTAAAATTTAAAACGTCAATCAATGTCTTTGCCCATGGTAAGAGTCCTGATTAAACATGTAATTTGGTTTTTATTCATTAGAGAATAAAATGCCATAAACTAAGATTAAAAAAAATCTCACCTCACCTCAAAACAGCAAGTGTCCTATAATCAAGGACTATATAAACACATTAAAAATGAGTCTTCCCTTTAAAAACAAATAAAACAACAACCCAAACTCTTTTCTTCATATGAGAAAAATTATTTCACAAAATCAATGGCAGTAGTTTGAAAACAATATAATGCCAACTATACACAAAGCCTTGGCAACAATTATAGGTGACATCATTTCTATTGTTTTTTCTCCTTTAAAGCATAAATGTTTATGCTAATACATTCTGAATCTCAGAATTCAGAGACTAATTCTACTTACAATTACTGAAACAAGTATTAACAAGAAGAAAACTGATGTTTAATAATTGATACTTAAAACTAATATAAACTAATATGCTTGATATTTACTAATAATCAACACAGATACTGCCTCTTCTTAAAAACAGATATTTAGGAATGTTTCCATTATTATGTGAGAGTTTTTTGGTTGTTATTATTAAAAGCATTGTGAATTGTCATTAATAGTACAACTATTTGTATGGAAGTAGAGTTCAAAAGTAGAGAACATATTTAGCATGCACAGGCCCTGTGTTTACTCAACACACACATACACACACACACATACACACCTACACACAATCTCTCTCTCTGTAATTATAACCTAGAAATGAAATTATCTAATGTTTCTTTCATATGCTATATGAAAGTTTCACTTTGTTAACTCAGTTCATTTTAAAAAACATTAAAAATTCAACTATAACTAAGCCCCAAGTTCCTAGCAAGAAAGGACATGTAAAAAGACAGTGAGTGACAACGCAAAGACTATTTACAAATGTGCAGGCAAGGCTAAGAGAAAGCTAGGAAGAGATGATGAAGTGTTCCTGCATCAGCCACAACAAGGAGTTATTCCCATTCTAAGCCTAAAATAGGAAGAGAAGGGAACGGGGAATAGTTACTAGACCAAGAGAGCTGTAACTAAAGAAGAGAGCCACACAATGACTAAGCATAGTTACTGACAACCTGAAGACCAGGAAAGAGGAAGATGTTAAAGTAAATACTCCTACCTCTCCGTCCTCCTGTCAGTGCCTTCCATTGGCTGAACCCAATCAGAAGTCAGGGGACAAGGCAGACCAGTTGATGCAGTCCTTAGAAATCAGCCTCCTGGGGCACAGAGCAGAGTATACAAGGGTGGAGAATGCATTTGGAGAAGCATATGATGACTAACAGCATAGCACAACCTGAGTATTAGTTTTCAAGAACAACTGAATGAAATTAGAAAAGACAGAATTTACTAGGGACTTCAACAAAAACTTAGGCACATTTGATAGATAAGCAATGTAGTCATTGCAGCTGGCAGTGTACTCTAAATTTGAGTATCTTTATAAGCTCTGAACTGCACCAATCATTAAAACCCAGTATCCAAATAAACCTAGCATAAAAGATGTTTTTCAAGTATCTCAACAGCCAAGTATTAAACCAAACCTTGACACACAAATCACAATGC